ATATATTCTCAACACAGTGAACCAAGGGAATAAAAACATTCCTTCTAAGCACCAGACTATACACACACCCTCACATTTGAATTGCACAACACGTGCAGTCTCATACACACACCCACATTGACTTCTCTACATACACACACCTAGATCTCAGTACACTCACCAGAATTTAATCTCCTACACTCACCATCACAAAATGCCTAAAAACTTACTACACTTGATCGAATTTTAAATCATAAATAGAGCTGAATTAGATACTAATCATGCAACATCTTGGGCAAATACAATTAATCAAAGCTATCATAAAACTCAATTTACTCAAAATAGTTCCAATTAAGGCTTAATCCGTTCACAGATAATTTCAGTAAACTAAATCAATTTCAATTAAACTTATCATAGTGTTCTAAAAATTCCAAATAATTTATTCATGTAACCAATTTTGATTTCGAATACCGATAAGGCTTTCAATTTTCATATCCACACACATCTGTTCACAATATCACAATTAAATTTAAACACATAATTAAATTAATATAATCATGATTTGCATTTTGGGGTCATTACATAACTTCTCCTATTTTTAATTTCAAAATAAAAATATTAAAAATCATGCAAAGTTAAGTTTCAATCCAATTAATAGTCAAATCAAAGTTTAGTAATAATAATTTATTGTTTTATAATAATGTTTTCAATCAAATTAAACTTTCTCACACTACAACATTTTCTTAGTTTAGTGACATTTGAAAGTGCCACAAAACTATTCTTTTAATGACATTTTTTGGTCTTGTGGCATTTTGAACAAGTGCCACTTCTATCGGTGCCACGATAGATACGAGTGTCACGGTAGATACTTGCAAGTGCCACTGCACCATCATGGCTAAAAACTTTCAATGACATTTTAATGTCATGGTAGATATTATTTGTGTGGCACTATCAAGCGCCATTAAAAAAAGAGTTAGTAACACTTGTAAGTGTCATTACACTATCAAGACTAAAACCTTTCAGTGACACTTTAATGTTATGGTAGGCACTATTCGTGACGCTATCAAGTGTCATTCATGATGATAATTCGTTGTAGAACAATTTGATCCGCTCTTGCGGAGACTCGAACCGCCAACCTTCCGCACCATAAACCTTATACACCACACTCTTCCCACTACACCTCTATAGCACCACATGATTATATATGCAACATATATTATTTATATAGTACATACATCCATATTAATATAAAAATATATGAATAAATATAATTATTTTATTGAACATAATTTATGTAAAATAAACTATTTACTACCAAAATAAAAAAAAAAGACCACTTTTGGTGACTAAAAAACCAATTCTATACTTTTGGCTACTAATTATTTTTTAATTGCTAAAAGACTTAACTTTTATCGACCAAAATCAGATTTGGTCACTGAAGATGCACTTTCAGCTACCAAAATTTTGTTTCAAAATAAAAATATTAAAAATCATGCAAAGTTAAGTTTCAATCCAATTAATAGTCAAATCAAAGTTTAGTAATAATAATTTATTGTTTTATAATAATGTTTTCAATCAAATTAAACTTTCTCAATAGAAAATGAGTAGATATTAGAGGAGGGTAATGCCATGGTACACACCCTCATAGGTAAGTTATGACATTTGTGAGGTTTATCACAAATGTCATAACTATAAAAAAAAAAAAAGTTATAACAAACACTACGTAAGATATAATTGAAGAGTTTTAGATAATAACTAAAATAATGTCATAATTAACACCACAACAATTATAATTAAGTTATAATTAACATCAC